TCTTCACCATCGTCAGAAGGTGCTGATGTTCTTTTGCTGCGTTTAAGCTATGTCAGGGACTTAAAATTCAAAGGCCTTACCAGGAGCTACAGTCATCAACGGATACTGTCTTGTTATCTTGCAACGCTACTGAATCGAATGATTCCCAGGGGGAAACAGAAGTTAAACATCAAAAACAAAGTTGTGAAATACTGTAAAGTTAAGCTTTTTAACCAGTATAGTTAATTTAAAATACAACTCAGGTTGGAACGCACCAGGCTCTACGGTACGATCATGCATTTTTGCACTACACTCACAGATCGCTATTAGCAGGAATGATCCCTACGCTGTAGCCTAATACTTGAGCTAATACTGGCCGTGCTTTGATCCTTTCCGGCATCCAGGAAGAAGGGCATCATTTGGGATAAAGGTGATGCATCATGGAGCCGCTATTTCTTATTAAAATTATATATTTTATGTAAAATGTTAAAAATGATTTTTGTGTGTATGAATCATCGTGCCTTACGTTAAAATAATTTTGTGTGGTTTTCATGTGGCTTGTCTTTTCCTTTTTTTTGTGTATAATCGACATAGAGCTTTTTTCGTGCTCTTAATGTTCCTCACACCTGATCGCCAAAAGATGACAATTTGTTCCTCAACACCCGATGAAAAAAACCTCCGTAGCGTCCGTCAAGAAGAGGTTGTACCAACCGCGATTCGTCTACATTGTTTGCTCTCCGCATTCTTCTAGTCACGGCATGTCAGACAACCTTACGTTACCACAGCAGTGCAACGCCTTCGTCACTGTCTCATTCACCATCGTCTTTCGCCCGTTATCTCTCAGGTCCTTCGGTGGATCCTGACTCCTTTCTGGTTTCGTTAAGGATTCTCAACAGAACTGACCCACATTTCTTGGTCTAGTTACAGAACGACCAGGCATTCTAATACGTTACTTTATCATATTGCTCGCGCATGATCTATTCACCATAAACCTGTTATTAACTGTTTTATTCGCCTCTGCTCAACTTCCTTTATTAGTTACACTAAAGACGCAACCGCGCCACAACATGCTTTAAAGCTGAATGTGAAATATTTAGGTCACACATTAGCATGGAATATCGTCGTAAAGTTCCAGCTGCAACGCTCACTGCTTGTCGGGACAAACTCCATGTGAGTTGTCCTTCAGTTACAGTCCAAGCTTTTCTAGCGGGAAGCTTAATGCCCTCGGATGGTCACTCCACTCCTTTATCTGATATTACATTTACTGTATAAAGCTTGTGTTCAGAGCCATAAAGCCCATCATTTCATTCGCTTTATTGGTTTATTGCCTGGCCTTAGGATTCGAATTGTGAGTAAAAAATTATTCCAACAGTAGCTGCAAAGGGTCAAATGAATTCAAAAGTTACCACCTCTACAAATTTTTAGGCTAGCGGTGTGCGTGTATGTTTGTGTGTGCCTGTTTGTCTGTAACTGCGCGTGTGGATATGTGTACCAGGCCTTTTATCCTAAAATCGAGCATAAAAATTGCTTAAGTTTATCAACAGCTGCACGTGTCCCACGTTACTGGCGACAGGAAGAGGCATCGATTTTGTAAGCGTGCTGGGACTGGAACTGCTGATGTTCCGCAAGGGTGGCTGGTGAATGTGTACCCATTTTTAGTTAAATTACAAAATACTATAAGTAGTTTGGCCGAAATCTACATCGATTTAGGACAGGCAGTGATTCATTTTTTCTATTCTTCGGCAATTGCTTGCTGTAGCAAATTCATGATGTCCGTATGCAAACGATTGAGGCGAGATGGGCTGCGAATCAT